GGTTGATACCACTGGGCAAGAGAGGGGAGTCAGGGTGGTACAAGCCTCTCCTTGGAGAGACCACTGGGGAAGAGGCAGTAAGTAAAGTCAGGTCTTCTTCTGGGCGATACCACTGGAGAAGAGAGGGGAGGAGCCAAGGTGGGGCCGTCTCCTTTTGATGTACTGGAATTAGTAAGGAGGAGATTTTAATCTCCCTCAATCTCCTTTACCCCACTAAAATGATAGTAGCTAGGAATAATAATACTAGCCTTAGATATGGACAACTAATGTTTTCCAGCAAATTATCAATAGGAAAATATTTAGAAAATGTTATAAGCACACTCTCGATGAAAATACATCAAGACATGCCCCCCACACCTGCCAACCAGGTTAGCCTCTCTTGTATGGAAATTCTGGAGCTGCTACTGACTCGGGGGAGAAGAGATTTCTGGGTGTTCTTCACCTCTGAACTCCTATACACATTCTTTAAAGCCTGGTCCTAGTATATATACCCTCCTGCACGAAGCTTATGAGACAGGCTCTTTACTCTGCTGAAGGTGTTTCAAACCCAGCAGGTAGACCCTGGCTAAGCTTAGGCATGGCTTGCTGGGCACCCTAAGGACATTCATTTCCTCTCCCTGGGCCTCAGCTCGACAAATCTGGAGAATTTGAGTGTCAGCCTCTCAAACGATCCCATTTTCTCTGTCTCCACCTGCAGTATTTGTGAACTGGATGGAAGACAGAATGGCAAGTGTGAGAACATTGCTGTAACACACACACATCAACAGAAATTTCCAAAACTCACTATCTTTGTGACTTCTGGTCTCAAATCCTGGGCTCTGTTCTCTTTCACCATCAATGCCTCTCTGAGCTGATCTCAAATCTGGGCCTTTCTTAACTCTCCCAACACCTATGTTGCACTTTTCTGATCTGGATTTATGGTCTTTACTAATGATTCAATCATCAGTGTCCTTGCATATTGACCCTGAATCCAAACTGCTTGCTAACTCTTCCACCATATGTGCCCTTCTTGTGTCAACTGAGAAACTAGGCATCTGTTAATTTTCCACTGTCAATGCCTCTCTGGTCTAGATCTCAACTATTGGACCATGGCTAACTTTCCTACCATCAATGTCCTTTTTTTTTACCCCTCTAATCTTTTTTTAAAGGTATTTTGGGGGTTTTTGGTTTTTGCTTTTAGAACATTAATTTTTTGTACAATTAATTTAATTTATTTATTTGGGGGGTGATTAGGTTTATTTATTTATTTATTTATTTTAATGGAGGAGGTACTGGGGATTGAACCCAGGACCTCGTGCATGCTAAGCACACACTCTACCACTGAGCTACACCCTCCCTATAGTCCTTTTGATTAGCCCTCCAAAACAGACCTCTGTTACAGGTGCATGGGTTCAAGTTCAAACCAGAAAGGAAATGATATTTATAGACTAACAGAGGACAAAGTTCAAGAACTGGACCATTGTGGCTTAAAGCTCATTCATGTTAGAATTCTGCTTACACACCTGGGCTTGTGGCCTCTAAAACAAGATGGTGATTTCTGGGAAAATCATTAACAGACATTTTTAGATCAAACCAGAGAGATTAATGATGGAAAAGTTAGTATTTTCCTGGGATACAGACATGGCATAGTTAACGGAAGCCCAGGTTCAAGGTCAGAAGTAATGATTTGTCACTTCAGAAATTAGATTATAATATTGTGACTTCAATCTTGTGTTCTCTCTCTGTCTCCCTCCTATAACTCACTCTGGGAGAAGCCGGCTGCTGTCATAGTGACACTCAAGCAGCCTTTGGAGAGACCCATGTGCCAAGCACTCCTGCCAATAGCCACTGAAGAACTGTGGCCTCTAGCCTGTAGCCAGGTGAATGAGCTGCCTTGGAATTGAAACCTCCAGCCTCAGCTGAGAAAGCCCCAGATAACAACTTGACTGCAGCGTCAGGAGAGACCCTGAGATAGAACCACGCAGCCAAACCACCCCCAAATTCCTGACCCCACAGACACTGGGAAATAATAAATGTTTGCTATTTTAAACTTCTATGTTTAAGGGTCATTCTTTATGCTGCAATAGATAACTAATTCAGGCATTAAAAGTTTCGGTATTTTATTCATCATGGATTTTTTACATTAATTTTGACTTTGAAAAGTACTGCACTAAAATGCCATTTATTTTGATTGCTGAGGGTGTTTTTGTTTTTTGTTTTTTGTTTTTGTTTTTTTTTTGGTGCCCCCTGAAATTTTGCACTTTGAGGTGAGTGTTTCTCTTGCCTCACCCTAGTCCCAGCCCTGCTTAAAAAAAACAAAAAACAAAAAACAAAAAAAACCTTGTTCTCTAAAATCATAGACAATCAGAAACTTTGTTATTGGAAATTGTATCGGTAAGAATGAAACATTCCACTCTTGCCTGGAGGATCCAAGTCACTTTGATACAGAGAAGCAGATTCAATTTCCAACGCAGGTTCAGAGCTTCAAATAAGGGGCATCTGAAGCAAACACGTTGCATCTATTTTTTTTTCTAATTTTATTGAAGTGTAGTTGATTTACAATGTTAGTTTCAGGTGTACAGCAAAGTGATTCAGTTATACATATACATACATATGTATTTTTTCTTTTCAGATTCTTTCCCATTATATATTATTACAAGAAATTGAGTATAATTCCCTGTGCTCTACAATAGGTCCTCATGTCACATCTATTTTTAATTTAGTGTTTCTAAATAAAAAGGACCCTGGATCCACTTCACAGTCCAGACTTGACACTGACCCTTTTACATACCAACTTACTTTGCTTTGGGCTAATCAAAACATTGCTTCATTTAAATTTTAACTAAACTCCACTCTTCCCCAACATCCTATAGTAATCCTACATCTTTCTTTCTTTGGTGAGACTAGGGTGATCAATCATCCCTGTTTGCCCAGGACTGAGGGATTTACTGGAACAAAGGATCTTCAGTGCTAAAATCAGGAAAGTCCAGGGCAAAACTGAGACAATTTGGCCACCCTAAGTGAGATCCTCCACAGGTCTATGATGTGTGGCCTCCCTTACTGCAGCAAGTTAATAAACCCATTTCTGTCAGACTATGGATGTGGCCCTTGTGGGCTTTATCAGATGGCCTTTATCAAGATCATTAACGTGGAATGGACAGGTTCACAGAGGTCAAGTTTGAGATCAGTCCTAGCATGCACTGATGGTGGAAAAATTAACAGGCTTGGGTTCCAGTTTCAGATCAGAGGGCCAGTGATGAAGGAATAGTTCATTGAAGGCTGAATGCTAAACAATACCAGAAGGGCATCAAGAGTGAAAGAATTATCAGGGCTCTTGATTATAGGTCAGGCTAGAGAAATACTAATAGGATTGAAATTTGGTCCAGAGGTAGTGGAAATATTAACAGGAGCCTGGATTTTAGATTTTGACCAGAGAGTCGTAGGTGATGGATTAAATAACGAATGACAAATTCAAACTCCTACCAGATGAGCAGTGGTGATGCAAGAGTTAATGGGAGCTGGCAATTTGAGCTCTCTTGTCTAGACCAAGTCTGAGGGATTGTAGTTAGATGGTACAGCTGGCCAATGGCTGTGTATGAAAGGTGGGATATGGTTTCTGGTGGCCAATGGGATGGAGCAGCAGCCTGTTACTAGGGAGAAGCTCCTGTTGCTATGTGCAGAGTGAGAGAGACATGGGGTCTAGCCTGAGTTGCTACAGGCAACTGGTTAGCCAATGACTGCAGAAGTTGGGCTTTGGCCTCTCCAGCCTATGCTAAACTGTTGCTAGGTAGTAACCCCCATTGCCATGTGAAAGGAGGCAGCTAAAGTGGCACCTGAGAGGCTGTAGACAAAAGGCGCAGTTAGTCAATGGCAGAGTAAGAATCAGGTTCTGGCCTCCCCAGTCACATGAGGCTGCCTGGTCTGTAAATCAGCGAGGTCCTCGTTGTCCAATGCCAGGGGGAGCCAGTGCATAGCCTGAGGGGGGACAGATAGAAGACATAGATGCGTGAGGGAAGTGGAAGTGGAAGTGAAGTGGGTGGGAGCAAGACCTGAGGTTTCTTTGGGCAGATGGTGCAGCTGGCCAGCGGCTCTCTGTGGGAGGCAGACTTTAGTCTCCCTGCCCAGTGAAATGCAGGAACATCCCTGTTACTGTGCAGAAATAACTTTGCTCTTCCCAGTT